TTTAAACAGCACACACACACACACACACACACACACACACACACACACACAGGCAAACGCAATAGGATGTTGATTACGGAGCTCATTGAGTTTTCTTGAAAAGCCCACTCAGCTTGTGAGTGTCTGTTTGCATCTGTGGATGTTTCCTCGTGTATGTGTGTGTGTGTGTGCGTGTTAGTATTAACAAGATTGGCGTCTGCATCGCCTTTGTCTGCACAACGCTGTAATGATCCTCAGCTCCTCCTCATTGTTTCTGCCACATATGAGGAATTGCAGGAGATCGACCCTCCAGTGTTTTGGGTTTTGTTTTCTTACAGAGCGAATTGATCTCTTTAAAGCTTGAGGAGAGAGAAAATTAGAAGCGTTTACGGAAATGTGTTTGTCTCTGTTTTTTCTCTCCCAGAGATGTCTCATTTCAATCCCCTGAGAGAGGGGAGTCTGTGAACTTGCAGCTTTTTTTCCCACACAGCTTGGCAGGGCGCTCCAAAGGGTGAAACTGGTGCTCTGTCGTTTGCTTTGTAATTATGAACTGTATTTATAATATATGAAATTATGTGATATCCTGTGAGAGAGCTCTGTGTGTGTGTGTGTCTACCGTATGCATCCCTCTGATCCACCAGCTGAGAGCCAACAGTTAAGTGCAAGTCCAGAGAAACAAATTGGTCGGTTTGCAACCTCCCTTACCAACCACCACACACACACAACACACACACACACACAGAGAGCCATTCACTGATTATATATAGCTAATTGGCCTTGCTTTTGGGCCCTTGAGTTCAGTGAACAAAGCGTTGCTTAAAGGAGGACAGCCTGAAGAAAACTTCAGCCTGTGCATCGTGCTCGGACATACATGCATGTCTGCACACAAGAAATGTTTTATTCACATATGAGCATCCACACATTTCTACATCCAGCTATGACAATTATTGCTTTTTAGAAAAAAGGACACCCACACAGATGCACAATGTATGGTACACACAAATGTAACTTGGACCCTTCCCCAAATATCTTCCAACCCTGGCTTCCTGCCACACTGTTGCAAAAATATCCTCCTGAAAAGGCCTCTACCTGCCCACTCACATACATACAAGTAGCAAAGTAAGCTAAACTTAGTCCTTTTTTTCTGTTGACTCATTTTTATGTAATATTGATTTTTAGCATGTGTGAGTATGTTTGTGGGAGAAGGAGAGAGGGTTTTACAGCAAATATAACAGATACAGCTGTACTTGTGTTGTAATGTTTTCTTTAAATATTTTAGATTTTGAAAAAAAATCTGATAATAGAGTATTTAAAAAAAAAACATACAGACAGGGCGCCCTGGTGGCTCCCTGGAGTTGGCACCCAATGTACCAGGGCTGAGTCCTTGCTGTAGGGTTTGACTCCGACCCGTGGCCCTCTGTTATGTTGTTGTCCGCACTCTCTCTTCCCCTTTCCTGTCACTCTACAGCACTATTCATTAAAGGCAATAAAAAAACCTGAAAAATATATTTTAAAAACTACAGATGGGAGTATCTTTCACCACACCAGTTGCACATGTGCAAGTACAAAATATATTGACCGAGTTTCTCTATTTATTGTGTTTCTGTGTTTCCCTTTTGCAGTCGAGAAGTACTTCAGGAGGTGCTGGAGGCAGACCTGAGCAATGAAGCTTTCCCCTTCTCTACCCACAAAGTAGTTAAAGCAGCAGGGCATCAGGTGAGAACACACCACACACACACACACACTCAGTGACTGAACTCATTTCTACAGTAATTGGATGTTGTATGTATGTGTACATATGTCAGCTTCAAAATAACCCTGTCAGTGCTAGTTAAAGCTGCAGTAGATAACTTATAAAAGTAACTTTTGGTCATAATTGCTGAAACTTTCCCTAAATCCTGACAGTAGTACATGAGAGAGATGTACTCTGGTTTCTCCTAGTGCTTCACCGTGCCTGAACGAAAACAACCAATCAGAGCCAAGAAAGTTGTTTTGATTGCTGAGCCTCATTCCCAGATTGTCATTACTGACTCGAAGAAAGAGACCACTATCTTCAAGCCATCAGCCCAAAGGGTGTTTCCCGTCTATGATTGGTTGTTTTCATTCAGGCCCGGTGGATTGTTGAAAACAACATCAGGAGCACTAGGAAGAGCCAGAGGAAGCTGATTTTTTTCCATGGATTATCTGTCTCATGTACTACTGTCATATTTCAGCAAATATTTTTATAATATAATATAATAATATTTTATAAAGTGTTACCTACTGCAGCTTTAAATAAAACAAAATCCTATGCAAATTGCATGCAGTGGTTTATTATTGTAAAGGTTCAGTCAACAGAGATTGTAAACTGTGTGTGTATGTGTGTGGGACAGATGGCATGTCTCAAGGCGTCCTTGTGACTTACTTAGATATCAAGTCTGTCCACATGTTTTGTATTTCTCTACCTTCTTCCTGCCTTCTATCTCTTTCTACTTCTTCCCCTGAGGTGAAAGTTTATAGCGCAGTTGTTTACAAGCTCTGGGGAAATCATACATTTATATTCAGCTGTATTATGTCATTCAGTTTTCTCACAACAGTGCTTTAAGGGTTATGTAGCCTCAGCCTCTCAGGTTGACCTCTACACTGTTGATGGCCTTGGATCAAAAAGAGCATGTTTTACCAGCACACGTGGCGACACATATGTCCACACACTCAAACACACACATACTCCCCCTGTCTTAGTTGCTCTTGCATGAATTATGCAACGCTCCGGTGATTGCAGTCAGCATCTTCTCACAGCTCAGCAGTAGGGTTTGTGTGTGTGCATTGCTTGTGCTGTGTTCCAGCTGGTTGCCGGCCTTGTTTGGGTGACATTTTAATGGCTGCACTGCTGCGAGAACAGAGCTCTCTCTCTGCCCTCTGCTCCCCTCATAGCTCATTAGACTCTCTCCATCTCTCTCTCTTCCTAACCCTCCCGTTGAAGCAAGTGTGCTGGCATGCGTTAGGTCATATGAATTCATGTTTATATGCATTTCTGTACTCAGGTCTGTGCTGTTTGTGTCTGTGTGTCTGTGTCTGTGTCTGTGTGTTTGTGTTTGATGTTTGCCCAGTAAATGTATGAGTGACAATGTGCATGAGGCTTGCATGTGTTTCTGTGTGTTTGTTGACTGTGTGTATCTGCTGGAGTGTGTGTTGTGAATAAGCACGGGCCTACATGTACTGTCCTCCCCAGAGTTTCATGGTGTACATATGGGGCCCAGGGTGATCCTTGGCTGGCCAGATGGCCTGGCTGTCACAGCACCCACTGGGGAAACTGTTGGATAGAGTTTTCTCTTCTCATTTTACACTCCCTTCCATATTTTCTCACTCGCTTACTTTCCTTTTCCTTTACTCTTTAGCTTTCCCTCTTCTTTCACATATTGTATATTTTTGTGCATCTTAACCATGATATTTTGTCAACCTGGGTGTTATTCTCATATTGTTTCTATTATAACAGCCTGACTTGATGTTGCAAGCTGCATAGCATGGCAGTTACACTCCTTGTCGCCATATTAATGTTCACACGTTCGTTTCTTAACGTTAGGTTGAGGCTGTAGCATGCTTGTGATTTAACTTCTGTGCATCCTAGGGATGTAGGAGAAAACAGAGGAGGACCATTTCTGGATTGCAAAAATAAAATAACAACATACACACTGTGCAGTTTTCATGGATTGCAACTATAAGAAATAGATTCTAGTTGCATGAATTGTTCAACAGCAGCTGAGTGGTTCAGTACAGCAGCTAAGGGGGTTTCCAGTGGCTTACTTTCTGTGTTTACTTGCAGTTGGAAAAACACATTTTTGTGATGATATCTGTTAAATTGAGTTTTTCATTTTTTTTTACTTTGGAAAGCTGCGAGAGGGTCACACTCTTTGCCCCACTCAACACCGTTCTTGCTGCATTTTGTTTGTCATGTTTTCATGACCAGTATTCATAAGGCAAAATGACAGTTTTGAGAGTAACACCAAGCCTACCTTCAGTGCCTCAATTTTTTTTTGACTGTCTTACATTTCACCTCTTTCTGCCTCTCAGGCCCAATTTCTACTTCTGTGCACTGTTTCTTTATTCTGTTTCCTCTGTCACCTCAGTCCTACCTTTATCTCTTTCCTGTCATTTCCACCTTATAACCCCCAGAGGTATTTCTCTAATATCTTTCGAGACTCAAAGCATTTTGGACACAGTTTCTAAAGGGAGATTACAGCTACCCTGTTTCCCTCTTTGTTCACCTTATCTTATCCTTGCATCTATTCTATTCTAATTCTTTTCTGCTTCTTTCTGTGTGCTTTTGTGTGTGAGTGAGCACAAGCAGAGGCATGGCAGCTTGGTCCTTTACATGCCTCTCTCCATCTCTCTAAGCCTCCTTTCTAACCCGCTTTCTTGTCCAGGTGCGAGCTATGCGTCTGTCATTTGTCGGAGAGCTCGGCTGGGAGCTGCACATTCCCAGAGACTCTTGCCTTCCAGTCTACCAGGCTGTCATGGCTGCTGGTGCAAAACACAGCATCATCAACTCAGGCTACAGGGCCATCGACTCACTCAGCATAGAGAAAGGTAACTTTTAATAATATGCCATTATTAACTAACCCTAACATACAACTCCAGCTCAGGTAGAAATATAAAGATTTTATTTGTGAATAAAACAATTGCTACTGATCTTGTGGGTTTTTTTACTTTTTTTTTCTTTGTAAATTCAAAAATATGAATTAGTAGAGCTTTAACCTTTTCCTTTAGCAGTAGTTTTATAAAGAATACTGCACAGAATACCTTGAACTACCTTGACTTTTTTTTTCACTCATATGTCCACCCTATCTTTCAGTGCTTCTCATTGCTAATGTCTTTCCTTTTCTCCTCCTCTCCTTTTCAGGGTACAGACATTGGCACGCTGACCTGCGCCCAGATGACACACCCTTGGAGGCTGGGCTAGCCTTCACATGCAAACTGAAGAGTTCGATCCCCTTCCAGGGCCGCGATCGGCTGGAGAAACAGAAGGAGGAGGGGCTGAGGAGGCGCATCGTCTGCTTCACCATTGATGAGTCAGTGAAAAGGCTGAGATTATATCCTAGTCAAAAAGACATGAATCAAATGGACAAATTGTCTTAAGGACAACAGAAAATTCAAACATTGTTGGAAATTTTAGAAGACATACAATAAAGCTTTCTGTAGTGAACCTACTTATGCTTCTTCCTCAAATGAATTCCAAACTATAACCTAAAATCATTTAGAGAATACTCAGAGAAAAGTAGTCTTAATATTATTGCATTTACTAAATGTGCAGTGGGTAATAAGTGTATGGTTTGGATGCCTGAGCCTGAGCACAGATATACTGTGTAACAGAATGGAGAAGCGGTTTATTGGAATATTACTAAATTTCCCTGCTGTGGATTTTCTTTTTAGGCATTTTACATGGTAAAGGGTTGTTTTTTTTTTATATAGGCCCAAACTGAAACACGTTTCTGTCCATCTAAATTAAGTCAAATATTTTGAATCTTTTATAAGTTTCCAGACAGAAACACTTCTGTCTACCCCAACTCTTGGTTTGGTTATTATTAATGTTTAATGGAGAGTTACATCCTCAAATGAGTTGAGGAAATTCTACAAACTCTACATGTATCAAATCAGTTCGTTAGGAGATGCAAGCACACAACAATAGTATCAGTTTGCTATCATGACAACATTGCTTTCTTTATGTGAAACTGATATTATCAGAGTTGGCATATTGTGTTTGGGCATGACAGCTGTGTTTGGGCATGACAGCTGTGTTTAGACTGAACGTGTGTAGATGTGCATGTGTTTCTAAACTTAGTAGACTAACTCACACACACAAGATTCACCTGTGTATACAGTCAACAGACTTCTGTACATGTTTCTGAGCACATAAACATATTTAATTAAATATGCTCTGCCTTCAAGACGATCTGAAATTAAATGAGTTGATTTTGTGAGTGTTTGAAATAAACAGGGTGTGTGTGGTGTTTGTTTGAATGTAATTAAACTCTCTCTCTCTCTCTCTACCAGGAAAGTACCGATGTTTGGTCTGGAGGCCATTTTCCGTAACGGCGTTCCCATTGGTCACCTGCGGCGTTCTGACTATGGCTTCTTTATTGACAAAACTATTGGTTATGGATATATCCGTAACCCCGATGGAGGAGTGGTAAAGACCTTAAACACACAACACGTACACATATACCTACACAGTATATCTCTATCATTGCTTCTGTGTTTAATATGTTTTCTGGGCTGTTGAATTTCTTGCCAAAT